TTTTCTAACATTTTCCATATATAAACAGGAAAGAATATGAGATTATACTTCATTTGGTTTCATCAAGCCTCGAACAAAGTACAACATTTTTTTGATCTTCAAGTATTCAACAAGATACAAGTATAATAGGTAAATATTGAAATATTAATAGCATTATTTAACGAAACAATTTTTATTAACCCACGATTATTCAATTTATTTCATTTAGTAAGTTGTGTAAGTTGTGTAATTTTTTATATTTTTTTTTTACAAATTGTTGATGGAATGGAATGCTATGACATTGACAGCTGTCATAGCACATTTTACTGCCACGTATACCAATTTTAGTTACTTTCATCAAGTGTTAAATATATAATATTGTGGTCCTAAGAATTAAATTTGGAAAAACAATTATTGCAAAATTTCTCATAAATAAATAAAATTTATATACAAAAAGTGAAATTAGGTCAATTTTTGTTAAATTTAATTAATATAGGACAATAGTTTCCAATGAATTATGTAATATTCGAGTCGATTAGAACTTGTGTACCAAATGCATAGTTAATTTTATGTTAGAAGCATCAATTTTCTAACATTTTCCTTATATAAACACGGAAAGAATATGAGATTATACTTCATTTGGTTTCATCAAGCCTCGAACAAAGTACATTTTTTTGATCTTCAAGTATTCAACAAGATACAAGTATAATAGGTAAATATTGAAATATTAATAGCATTATTTAACGAAACAATTTTTAATAACCCACGATTTTTCAATTTATTTCATATAAGAAGTTGTGTAATTTTTAATTTTTTTTTTACAAATTGTTGATGGAATGACATTGACAGCTGTCATAGCACATTTTACTGCCACGTATACCAACTTTAGTTACTTTCATCAAGTGTTAAATATATAATATTGTGGTCCTAAGAATTAAAGTTGGAAAAAAAATTATTGCAAAAATTAGGTCAATTTTTGTTAAATTTTATTAATATTGGACAATAGTTTTCAAGGAATTATGTAATATTCGAGTCGATTAACTCGAGTTTAATATGCATAACAATAAAATGTTGACATGTATATGATATTAATTACAAAACTGCAAACAAGATTTTAATAATAACATAATTATATCTGTTTCTTTGTTTAATGATTTTTCAATTTTCAACACAAAAATCCAAAATTTTGTTGCAAAATAAATATAATTGTGCATTTTCTGCTTTCTATTGATAATAAATATATGAAATAAGTAGTCAACTTAAGCTTAAAAAATTATATAATTTAATATTTCGTTATTTAAACATTTGTATTAGCCTCAGTTTGGACTAAAAGCCTATCTGCATATAATTCAATTAATTAAGTTGTAAATTTCAGCAAAATTTATTTAAAGTCAAAGAGAAATAAATATAAATATCTTTACCAAAATGTATACAGTTTAAATTTGAAAATTTAAAATGATTACAATGGAATGAAACAAGCCTTAAATCCTGAACAGAACTATTCAAACCAGTTATTTGCTTTTGATTTCTATAAAGATTGCGAGTCTGACTGTTTCCACTCGATCGACGAACGTAATGAGCTCGAACTTGTACTGACCATAAGGTAAATTTGGAGGAAACTTGGTGGCATCCAATACGAAATTCTTTGCGTAATAATATCCCTAAAAATAAATATCCCTATAAAATAAATTGATAATATTAAAAAAAAAAACATGGATTTTATTTACCACTTTCAATGGGCAATTGGTGTAATTACCCTTTGCCTTCAAAGCCCCAAAACCCAGCTGATTGTGTTTTATTGCGTGGCAACCGTCCACCATCAAACGCATCGGAGCGAACAGCTTGTACACATTGCTGAGAAACGCGTATGTTTCAAATAAAAACTACAAAAAAATTAATTTTTATATAAAAAAAAAAAATTAATATGCAATTACTTTCATATTGGTGACCTCTTTCACCAGAAGAAAATCTATGGACAAGAGACGAGTTGTCCTATTGTATTTGTTGTACCTGAAATTGTAGTAGTCATGCCAACTCCTGTTGTTCCTCACCACGACAACGTGATGCACGTCGAATTTGTAAGAATGTTGAAACTATAATTTACGCACTGGAAATGCGATTTATTATATTAATTAAATTTAATAATCATCAACTTTTGTGTATATTTACCAAAACCGTGGCAAAGCAAAACCCAACGATAATTTTGATCAACATGATGACTGAACTTCGGTAAGTGAAACGATCGCGTTTTCAATTTGATAATCATTGGTTAAAATCTACAGGAAACGTATTAAATCAACAATTAAATACGTATTATTTTTTTATAGTCGTGAGTATTTCAAATTGAATCACAATAATATTTGGAAATATCTCTAATAGTGCGGCTACAATCAGTGCGTCTTCTTCTGTTATATAATCATAATTTGAACTTGTAACTTGTTTGATTGAAATGAAGATTCTGCAAATTAACATCAACACAAAAAGTCCAAATTTATACATTCTTTCGAATACTTACTGAAGCAGAAACTAAAGGTAAAAGAAGAAAAACAATGTAATTATCACTATTCACTTATAAAAGTTAAGCAATTCATGACAATATAGTTTTTAGATAGGTGATAAATTTTAATAATATAGTCATTATAAACTATGTATTCTATATTACTATTGATTTACATTTCAACCTAAATATTATTTAGGACGTAGAATGGATCCATGCGGAACTTCATCAGTCAAATAGAAATTCTTATTTTAAATAGAATTAAAATGATTATAAACATTTTGTCTATTTTGAAGAATATGCATTTTTATTAACTTAAAGTATAAACATGAAGGCTTTCGGTCTCCAGTAATAACTTATGAAAATGTAAGTGTACCAAATGTTTGCTTTAAGAAAGTTTATTGTTGCTTTATGAAATATTTGAATACATGTATCAATTACAAATAAGAAACTTCAAACATCTTTACGATTCTTGACTTCGGAGGCGACGGTAAACTTCATGAGGAATTTGTCGTTTGTGGTGAAGCTCAACGAGAACTTGTACTGACCCAGAGGTATGTTCGGAGGAAACTGTGTCTCATCAGGCGTGAATTTCTCCATAACATAAGAATCCTAAAACCGAAATATTACTGATTCATCAATCCATTCGTTGATGGAGACTCACTTTTTGGATAGGACAACTCGTGAAGTTTCCACTTTTCGTCATCAGCTCTTTCATTCCGAAGAGATCAGATTTTATAGCGCTGCACACATCGAAAACCATGTTTATTGGTATGAACGATCTGTATTGGTTGTTAATAAACTTAAAAGCCTCAAGCAACACCTTCAACCATAATAAAAATCTTAAGTATTCATAATCAACAACAAGTTTAAGTACCTTCATCGTTTCAATTTTCTTCGAAAAGCGAATCTTGAGATCGAAAGCTCTCGCCGTTCTGTTGTACTTGTTGTATGCGAATTTGAAAAAATCTACGAATTGTTTATTGAAACCTTCCACAATCCCATGATGGTACTCGATCTTGTACGTGTTTTGACTGAAAAGATTCTGAAAATAATCATTAACATCACAAGTCTAAATTCTTTAGAATCACAACATTACTTTGTATAATACTATTAGAACCGGACTAATCGAGGAGTTTAAAATTGTATAAAAATAAAACAAGACTCAATTATATAAAGAAAATAAAAAACGATGTATTTGCATTTTTCTCAATTAAAATTTAGTTTATTTCTATAACAAAACCGTACTGATGGAAACAGCACTATTCGAGGTATTTCTGTACTTACAAAAGCAGAAACCAAAGGTATAAGGAGGAAGCAGATTCGAAACATCGCAAACATCACTCGACTTGAACCGACTGAGTACATTTTTTTTTGATACTGAACTCGAGCAATTTATATTGGACAACATCCCGAAAAATCAGAAGTATGTTTGTTTTTTTTTTTTGGATTTCCGTCTTTTATTTTTGCGAAACATTAAATTTCGATTACATAAATGAGGATTTAATAGGCAATTCATTTCAAAATCGTAGAATTAGATAAAAGATTATCTATCAAGTTATAAATATATGTTATTTATATAATATATAAATATACAGAGCGACGACCATCGTATGTTTGTTGTGTCAAAACTAACGAAAGTAAAGCAATATATGGCAGTGTTTGTCTTGAAAGGTGATAATTGTACTGTTGTAATAGAATTGATGTAAAAACGATGTAAGTACAATTGTTTATTTTTTGATCAAATGCTGTGTTATGATTATGTTGTGGCATATTTTGGTGAAACAGTGACGCCGTCTGAAAAAAAATTGCATAAGCAAAATCATGTGTAAAGGATTTGGTCGGATATATCCGCCGCTCTTCCGAAAGTTGTTGTTGAATATACATAATTATTTCCAAAAAAAATTATTTAGAAAATGTTCATGAAAATACTTGAACAAATTTAATAATTAAACCAAACGTAGACTGTGTGAAACCGGACTAAATAATCAAATTTCTTAAAGAAAATTATATTTACTTTTCTCACCCTTAAATTATTATATTAATATATGAATGAAAGGACAAAACATTTTAAAACTTGAAAATACACAGAGTAAAGCAGTTTAAAAAAATGCCTAAGCAAAATCATGTGTAAAGGATTTGGGCGGATATATCCGCCGCTCTTCCGAAATTTGTTGTTGAATATACATAATTATTTCCAAAAAAAGTTATTTTGAAAATGTTCTTGAAAATACTTGAAAATCTGAAATTCACTCAATAATTACATATCATTTTTGTTTTACTAATCATTAACAAATTTAATAATTAAACCAAACGCAGACTGTTTAAAACAGGACTAAATAATCAAATTACTTAAAGAAAATTATATTTAGTTTTCTCATACTTAAATTATTATATTAATATTAGAATTAAAGGACAAAACATTTTAAAACTTGAAAATACACACAGTAAAGCAGCTAAAAAAATGCATAAGCAAAATCATATGTAAAGGATTTGGGCGGATATATCCGCCGCTCTTCCGAAAGTTGTTGTTGAATATACATAATTATTTCCAAAAAAAGTTATTTAGAAAATGTTCATCAAAATACTTGAAAATCTGAGTTCACTCACTAATTACATATCATCATCATGTTTTACTAATAATTAACAAATTTAATAATTAGACCAAACGCAGATTGTGTGAAACCGGACTAAATAATCAAATTACTTAAAGAAAATTATAGTTTTCTCACCCTTAAATATATTAACATATGAATGAATGGATAAAACATTTTAAAACTTGAAAATACACAGAGTAAAACAGTTGAATTTTGCTGATTTTTTTTTGGGAAAATATGAATCGAATTCACTATGTGAATAAACAATGTCGAATCGCACATCTGATGGAAAACAATGACAGGAAATCATTTAATATAGAAACATCATACGTATAGAAAAAAGCAAAACATTATCTAAATGCAAGGTTACACTTGATATCTGAATTTACAAAAAAAAAAGATAATTGCAGTTTTCATACAATAAAAATAAACAAACAAAAATGCAATGATTTAAGACATAGAATGAAATGTGAGCCTTCTTCAATACATTTAATTTGATTACACAAAATTCCTTACACTATTAAAAATATTACATAAATGAGACTAATAGTTAATTAGCTAAAGTTGTAATTAGTTTTAATAACGAATGGATTAAACATATTTTCTATTCTTGAGTTCGGCGACGAAAGAATACTTGATGAGAAGCTTTTCGTGTGTGCTGAAAGTTAATGTGAACTTGTACTGACCCAGTGGTATATTAGGAAGGAACAGGGAATCATCGACCACGAAATTCCTCATAACATAATAACCCTGAAAAACAAAACGAAATTGATTTGTAAAATTCACTTCAATTTAGATTTACTTTTTCGAAAGGACAAGTTGTCAAGTTTCCATATTTCAGCAGCGTTTTGATTCCAAACAGTTCAGATTTCATGGCAGCACAGATATTGAACATCAGATTCAATGGCACAAACTCTCTGAACTGGTTGTTAATAAACTTGGCTGTCTCCATTAACACCTTAAAACCAAATTGAAAAGATTATGAGTTAACAAAGAAGTAGAAGTTTTTTCACGCACCGTGACTGAATCAATTTTTTTCAAAAATCGTACACCGAGATTGAAAGCTCTCGTCGATCTGTTGTACTTGTTATAACCGAACGTATAATCTGCTACCAAGTTTGGATTGAAGTCTTCGGGAATCCCGTGATGGATTTGAAACTTGTAACCGGTCTGACTGTACTCATGTTTCTGCAAATTTAAGGACGATGAAAAATTTTTTTTTTCATTTTCATTTCGAATACTTACTAACGCGAAAACTAGAGGGAAAATAAGGAAAGAGATACAAAACATCGTAAACCTCATTGCATCAACTGACTGCGTTTTAATTACCACAATCAAGCGTTTTATATTGATCACACAGACTTCCGGTAACCGAGCTTCCGCAATTAAAAAATATGCACAATCGAGGATTTAATAGGTAAATCAATCATTGTTTTATATTTTAATTATATTATTGCAACTACATCCACTAAACGTCTATGTTTAATGTTCAAAAAGCTACAAAAGTTAAGCAACATAAGAAACATATGAAATATTATCATCATCAATCCAGTAGACATTTTTCCTCATTTCAAATGTATTTATTATTTAAGACCCAGAATGGAATATTATGATGTTAATAACGTTACAAAATGATCAAAAATCTTTTCGATTCTTGATTACACAATCGACGCTCAACTTGAATAGAAATTGATCGTGGGTATTGAAAGTCAATGAGAATTTGTACTGACCGAGAGGTAAGTTCGGAGGAAACAGACCATCATCTGGCGTGAATTGTCTCATAACATAGTAACCCTAAAACGTGGTAATAATAATGAGAAAATTTCTTAAATATAATCAAAGACTAACTTTAAGTACAGGACAATTCGTCCAGTTTCCATATTCCTTCGCAATAACTGCTAATCCGAAGAGGTTAGTTTTTAAAGCGCTGCATAAATCGAAACCCACGGTGATTGGCGTGAAATTTCTGTACTCGTTGTTGATAAACTTCCAAGTCTGCAGTGATGTCTTCAACCAGAATCAGTAGATTATAGCACATGAAATGTGTGAGAAAAAAATTCTACCTTCATTGAATCAAGATTTTTCAGAAACCGAATGCTCAAATCGAAAGCTCTCGCCGTTCTGTTGTATTTGTTGAATCCGAATTTTAAAGACTCGGTCAATTCCGGATTGAAATCGTCCGCAATCCCGTGATGGTATACAATCTTGTATTTGGTTTGATTGAACCGAATATTCTAAAAGATATATTATAGAGTATGAAACATCAACATTTCCCGCTACTTCCATTTTATATTTCTCAATTCCCGGGAAAAAGTATACTTATTTTTTGCTAATCTCTTCAATACTTACTAAAGCCAAAACTAGAGGTAAAAGTAATAAGCAGATACGAAACATCGCAAACATCAATCTATAAAAACCAACTAAATGCGTTTTTCTGAACTCGAGCTATTTGTATTAGTTAACATGCCAAAAAAAAATGCATCGTTTTTTTAGAATTGCCGGGAAATGACTTTTCGCAAAAAAAAGGAACATTACATTTCGATTACATAAACGAGTATATAATAAGCATTTCATTCCAAAATCAAGAATACCAGTCTATTATGTAGATGTTATAGTTCAAATATATGAATATTCAAGACACATCGATGAAATATTTGACCACTTATTAAAGTAGTTCACCCTGTGCAGTGGAGCAGGGCGGACGTGTTTCCTTCACCCCCGAGTTGAACATACTTAAGTGCCCGGTTTTAAATAGGTTATCGCGTACCAATAGTAGTGAAATAGTTTTTAAGTGACAAACAATTAAACCCTTTCACAGGTGGATTACCTCCTAGGAAAATTCCTCTTTGAAATGGTTCCACCAAGTAAGATACAGAAGATATTAGCGAGCGAAGTTGAAGCTAAAAACCAACCAATCCCCTTATCAAATAACTACGCCGTACTATTCGATATGAAAGAAGATGAAATACCCATGGAAAAAATGGATATAGAACCAACAAAGTAGAACAAAAAACAAGAAAAAGTCCTCCCTATCATCATCATTGGAGAGCATCGGTATGGATCTCATCAGCAGTTCATTAAGACCTGCAAAAAATATTAAATAATAATGTGCTGGTTACGTACAAGCGACCCCTCAAAAAGACAATTATTCGATCCCAAAGTATCGAAGATCACAACACTTTTCTAAAAACACTTGAAGAAAATAAAACAAAATTTTATGCGTTCTCGAGAGAGAATGAGAAGAACCATGCCTTTGTCATGTGGAACCTCCCAAAGGAAGAAGTTGAAGAGGATTTGAAAGAGATATACAAGACCAACTCTAAAAGGGTCTCGAAGATGAGGACCACACCAGCATTCTTCGTGCTCCTGGAGAACACTATCACCCTCAAGGGTCTACAAAACAAAGTCCGACACATAAATTTCGCAACAGTCAAATGGATCCGCTACCAATCAAAAAGAAAAATACAAATATCCCTCTGCTCAACTCTACGACCTTTTTCCCTTCCCCAGCATTACAGACTTCATAAATACATTCCAAGGAAAACTAGCTCTCAGAATTCAAATCATCACACACTTTCTCTATTCAAACTTCCTCCCAGTAACTGTCTCAGGCTAAAACCAAAAATTAAAATGCCATTCCCTCCAGCTAAACTAGTGCAGAATCTTGAATCTGATGTTCCCATTTTCAATGATCTTACTGAAAACATTAGTGATATTCCATATTCAAATTTCTTTCTTATTTATATTTCTTAGTGTCTATAAAATGTGTATTAGGTGTCCTTTAAAATGTGTAAACTTAATGTTTTCTAAATGTGTACTTGTCTAAATGTGTTCTCTAAGATTTCTATCCATGTTCTAATCTCTTCCTGATTTCAAGAATGTTCTGTTTTTACTCTACAATGTGCTTCTATCCGACAATGTTAATTTTTTTTTAATACTCATCAAATCTAACCCTTAAATTGCATTCTGAAAGAGCTTAGGCTTAAGCAGTATGAAAACTATGTAAAATTCAAACATGTAAACCTCTTCATATATGAATAAAAACATTTGAAACAAAAAATAAAAATAACACAGTGTCATAAGTGCCAGGAATGGGGTCATACAACATCAAATTGGAGACTACCGTTCAAATCCCGCGATATACCCGCAACATGTGCAAACTGCGGGGCACCACACTCGACCAACAATATGGAAAGTCCAAAGTACATCGCCAAAATAAAAACCCCTCTGCAGACAAAGATTCGTGGAAAAACGTCGGCATCAAAACAAAACAGGCTCCAAAAGGCTGGCATATAATGAAGCACCTCATCCAAAAGTCAACATATGGGATCTAAGGAATAAATCCCGAGCTGACGCCCAATGAGACAATTGCCGTGTTCAATAGGATCAAGAAAAAGATACGAAGATAAGGACTTTGAAAGTGAATTAAATGACTTCTGGCAGAAGATACTGGGATCTGAAAGGTACAAGGAAGCTGTCAAAAAACTGCGGGAATTCTGTGACAAACTCGATGCAGCCAAAACCATAGAAGAACAAACAGAATTATGTATCATAAATCATAGATCTATTGCACTTATGACCCAAAAATGGCCGTAAACCCTTCCCTCGTCATTTGAGAATGGAATGCGGACTCTGTACATAAACTCTCATATCAAAACCTCTGTCTCTTCCACATGTAAATACTCTCTATCGCCATCTCCCATCCAACACCATCACACCTCTCCTATATAAACAATTGATAAGGCTCTAGAGGTCTAATATATTTTTAATGCATTTTAGATAAAATAAAGGGTTTTTCCAACGCTTTTCACTCTAATATAGTTTACAATTTTAATCCTAATCCTATCCTAAACACTTCAAATGTAAATTATAACTACGGCAATGACCTCCATAATATTGTTAAAAGTGTAAGAAATAGAAACCGATGCAAACCCAAAAAAACTATGTTAGAAAGATTTGTAAATTTGTGCCCTTGAAAATTGTAAATTGGTCAATAATTATGTTTGTAAATAAAGTAATTTTTGAATTTGAATTTTTGCTCATTAATATAATGAATGATGAATGAACATATTTTATAGTAGATAGGTGATAAAACAACTATTTTAATACATATTTTGTAATAAAATAAGTTGTGAAAACAATTAAAGATTTATATTGAAACAATTATTTATTATACGGAACTCAGAATAAATCTATGCGAAACTTCTTGAATCGAATGTGATAAAAAAATCAAATGTAATAGAAAATCATAGACATAGACCGGCATTCGAGCACTTATTCCATTGCCCAGGAACTGAAGATTAGCCAGAAAACCGTTTGCATAAGGCTGATCTCAAGAAGAAGTATGGGACAAAACGCTTAGAACTTTTTACTTCACCCAATATTGAAATTGTTTAAGCAATAAATTCTAATATAACGTTATGTATAAGTATTAATAATTATTGAATCAATAAATTAGATTAAATTAGTTTAGAATGAAATGATATCATTTTTTTTTATTGTAAAAATTTCTATTGAATTGATATTGGATTACTAAATATTCGCGCGTGTGCGTGAGTATGTGCACATTTGTTTGTTGCATCAACGGTTTTTCCCCTGTGCATAATTTTCCGCTGTTCGCGTTACAGCAAAAAAAAAATGTAAAGAAATAATAAATAAAGTGCGAGTATGTGTGTATGACATTGAACTTGAACTTATATTGATAAGTTATTCCCAATAATCAACTTATTATGACTGTGTTTTAAACATGTGTGTGAGTGCGTGTGTGTATTTATATATGTGGAACGTTTATCTGTGTATGGGTATGAATGTCGTAACAACAACAAAAAAACTATGCGCGCATTCGTTTATTTATTTATGTGCATGCATGCATTCATCGTTCGCAGTGATTATCAACGGACGACTTCGATATCTGCCAATATTTATGTTTGAACAAATAACACTGAACAGTCTACAAAAAATCTATCTATTTGCAGATACGCTCATAACGAATTTATATATGTCAAAGTACCTTTGATGGACACACAATTTTGTTTTTTCTTTTAAAACATAAATCACGTTTATTATTCAGTTTAAGAATAAATTTTCATATACTTTGTACAATTTACTTGATCATTAAATGTCATAAAATAAAGCTTTATTATTTTATTTTTTAAAATATTTTTAATTATATAATAAAGAATTTATGATGAATTAGTTGAGTTGAGCAATGTAGAAGATCCACACTAAACGAATAACGTAATGTAATCTTTTAAATATTTAAACATTAATTATCTTAACCATGTGTTAAGTACACTAGAATTCTTGTAAATCAGGTTAACTATAAATACAGAGTTAAGTATACCTTACTAACTTTGCTACAACTAAGTACAAATCAGTCACCTGAACCAGGCGCTGTCTGGTCATGGATGCTTTGGCAAGTACCAGTACTTTATCGATTTACTCGAAAACTATAATACATAGTAATTCGTGTTCAAAGTTTAAAAAATGCTCGAAAAAACAGTGTTT